CCCAAAATATATTCCCCCCCATTAGGCCAGAGACACTTGACTTGCACACAACTGACCCCAGTTTGATCCACAGCCACTGTGTATGGCTAAGTTCCATTAGAAGCGATCCCTAACAGAGAGCTAAGAGTAAGGCCTGAGTACTGCTAGGTGTGGTCAAAAACTAAACCCCCAAACGTTGTCTTATATTCCCATGAATTTATTTTATCATAAGCAAATATCTTTTTTAAACTAAGCTGCACACACATATACTCATGCCTTTTCTTTTTAAATGCAAAGGAATTCTAATCATTAGAATTTAAAAAGAAAGGGACCTGGAAATGGCATCAAGGGCTGGAACACTTGCTCTGCATACAAGAGGCCTGAGTTCAATCCCTACATCAAATAGTCCTCCAAGCAACACTGAGAACAGAACTGAGAGTAACCCATGAGCACCACACTAGCCAAAGAGAGAGAGCGAGAGAAAGACAGAGAGAGAGAGAGAGAGAGAGAGAGAGAGGGACAAGAAAAATCTATGAACAATCATTCTAGAAGGTATTACTTCTCTGTTCTCTCCCTTCTCCACAATCGTTTTTCCTTTCCCTTCTCTGTACCTGCTGAGACATAAGGAACATTTTCCTTCAGGTTAATTCCTGCAAGTTCAACTCCTCCATACTGATGTAAAATAAGACAATGAGCCAAATGTATGGAATCACAAACAAATCCCTAAAGGAGCAGGAATGCTCAATTAAAATGAGCAGGACAAGAGGTGTGGGGGTGGGGGAGTTGGGGGCGGGGGAGGGAGAAATGCTTCATTCCATGGCAGACACAAAGTTTGTGATACACTGGGCCACTTCGACCCTCTCATCTTTCGTGTCCTACAGCCTTGTAAAGGACGTTCTGCCATGAGGCTGCGTTCATGGGAAACAACCCGACCAGACTCTACCCTAGAGTCTAGACAAATGATCCGGAGCCATCCATGCTCCACAGTGCATTGCTTCTTAGTTGTTTATGGTTTGGGGGCCACACTTTGGGGTACTGGGGGGCTATTACCAGTTCAGTCAGTGCATGGGTGGTTGCTTCTAGTGATGATTTGGATTGAATGTGGGGCAAAGAAACCATGCAAAGCAAGCATCCCAGATCTCTGAGCCTTTTCCCTCACTAGAGCATTGCATCTTTCTTGCATATCGCTAGGCAAAGTGTCCTTGTTGCCTTCACCTGTTCTATTTTCACCTGTCATCCTTTTTTTCTCTTCACACTCAAAGAGCTAAGTGACCGCTGACCACTTCTAATGGGCTCTCCCTCTTAATTACCCATCCCCCACCCAGTTTTCTTTTAGTCTTCACTAAAGTTACATATCTTGCCCACACAGCCTGGTGAGGCAAGTGCAGAGGATGTCTGCAAGGTTTTGAGATCATGGCCAACAGAGATATTAGTGATTTGTAATGAGGAATGGGCTTGCCTCGGTGGTTATCTAGTTCGGCCTTAGAAAAGGGCTTCTTGGTTTCACAGTGTATCTCAAAAGGGGTGGGGGTTGGGAGGGTGGGGAGTGGGGTGGAGGATTCAAAATAAAATCATAACTCTAAAATACTTCACAACTGAGTTAAGACTCATTTATGAAAAGCTTGTAAGGAGACAGACTTCCATAATTAAAATATGGAAACCCAATCCCATTTTTTTCCCAGAACCCTGCAGCTCCAGGGGAATGAAATAAAATAGTTACAGCCTAAGAATAGGGGTAGATCCCCTGCTAGGTGCAGGAGATAGGTGGGCACGGCCATGAAGGGGATGGAGGACAAGCTGTCTGTCCTTCTAGAGGATCCTCAGATCTAAAGAGTCATGTCCTCAGAAATGAGCTACCCAACCCACACAGAAGAATTCAGAAAAGAATTGTTTAAGGAGGCCGCCCTTGAATGAAGGTAATGAAGGCTGGGGAATACAGGAGTTTCAAGTCATGACTAGAGACAGTGTAAACAGCACAATGGAAGCACACCTACAAACTCTTGTGTGCAAATCAGCTCTGAAACACTCAACTCCATGAAGAAATTCTCCCTCTGCAAAATGGTGACAAGAACCCCTGTCTGGGCTACAGCAAGAACTGCACAGATTCAGAACCTTCAGATGCTTTCGGTGCAATTACAAATTGGGGCAGCCACTACAGGAAGCAAGAAACAGAGTGATCTCTTTAATAAAACAAAGAACAAAATGCGATATGACTCTGCCATTCCACTTCTAGCAGTTTAGTCAATGAACCAAAACACTAACTCAAGGTGATAATATATTCATCTATATGCATAGTTCCGTGAATCCTCATATTCATCATAACACTACTCACAGTAGCCAAGGTTTGAAAACAACCTGAGTGCACATAAACAGGTGAGTGGGTAAAGGAGATGTATATACATACACACACAACACACTACTACTACTACTATTTTTTTTTAAGATTAAACATTCGTTTTTGGTACAACATGAAGAAACTTGTGTTGGATAGCAGAGATAAGGGCCAGGAGAATCACTCCTTGGCTTAAAATCTGACCTCAAATACTGAAGGAAAAGGCAGCTGAGATAGATAAGGACCACCAAGTAAATGATTCTTGGAGGGCTCGCTCAGGATGGGAGATGTGTGCTGAAAGTAGACTATGGACCGAACATGTTGGCAACTTCGTACCTGTATTGCAAACCATAACACCCAAAAGGAGAAAAGGAGAATAAAAGGGAATGTGCCTGCCACAGAGGCAGCAGGGGATAGGGGGGTGGTGGGAGGAATACTGGGAACATTGGTGGTGGAGAATGGTCACTAGTGGACAAATGGGTACTAGATCATTGTATGAATGAAATGTAAGCACGAAAATTCATAAGTCTGTAACTATCTCACAGTGATTCATTAAAAAAAATTTAAAAAAGGAAAAAGAAACTTGTGTTCAGTGAATTAAGTCAGATAGTTACTTAATTCATGTAGTAAAGACAAATACTAAAAGATTTCACCCATATTTGGGAGATGAAAATATAAACAAAATTGGGCTGGGCTGGAGCAATAGCACAGCGGGTAGGGTATTTGCCTTGCAAGGGGCCAACATGGCTGACCGGAGTTCAATTTCTCCGCCCCTCTCAGAAAGCCCAACAAGCTACTGAGAATATCGCGCCCGCACGGCAAAGCCTGGCAAGCTACTCATGATGTATTCAATATGCCAAACACAGTAACAATTGTCACAATGGAGATATTACTGGGCCCGCTTGAGAAAATGAATGAACAACGGGAGGACAGTGACAGTTACAGTGGGCCACTGCTATAATACAACATAAGACACCTGCTTTGCATGCAGCAGAACCAGGTTCACTCTCCAGCACCCCATATGGTCCCCCAACTCCACCAGGAGTGATCCCTGAGCACAGAACTAGGAGTAAACCCTGCGTGGTGCTGAGTATGGCCCACAAACCAAAAGAAAAATTATACATAAACAAATGACAATGAAAAGAAAGCATACACTACAGAACAAAATGATGGTTAGCAGACAGGAAAGAAAAGTGAACAAACTAGGGGGAGGAAGGAATCCAGACTTCCACTGATGAACAGAAGTCTTTCTTAAGAACACTTCATCAACTCTATTTAAATAAGCTAATTAATAAATGTAGACATATAACATATACAATATAATATACATATAATGCCCAAAATACAGGTGCACTTTACCATTTATAATAACCCTGACCATTTGAAATGAAATGCATAATGCAGCACAATGTTATAAACTAATTTTACCTCAATTGAAAAAAAAATCTTGGCAAATAATGTTTTTCCCCCCAAGGGTACTGTGTAGAATAAATATCAAAGGAATATCAAAGGGCTCTATCAACCAGGAAGTCTCATTATTTACCTTTAGGAAAAAGAAGTCCTGAACAGACTGTCAGAATTTGCCCTCGGGAGTATGAGATCTCGTAGTGGAAGAATTCCACCTGTGCATGGTCCACCTCCAGGTCTCCTTGCCATACCCCGGCATTTCATGCATGGACAAAAAAAAATGCTACAACTCTCCTTCTCCATGTGGATAGTTTCTTTCCACGTCCCCTTTAAATCCAGCTGCCAGTTCCCAGCACGTGGCTCCCGCCCCCAACTTGCTCACCTTTCCCTTGGCAAAGCCTAAGGCTCCTGAAGCACATTACTAGCTAGCCGGTAGGTAGCCCAATCCCTGTTTTTCTGCCCCCCTCGGGCAGGGCACCCTGCAGCCGGCTCTGAGTCCGGGCTGCGGGCCAGGGGCAGTCCCGCGAAACTCGGGCAGGCCGTGTTTGTTTTAGCGATGCGCGGGGATGAAAGGCATCCTGGAAGTTCAGGCCGTTCATTAATTACTGATAATTGAGGGCTTGTTCTCCAGCATGATTCCTTTGAAAGTACTTTCCATCCAACAGGGGACGGCCACCGAGGCAGCCGATGTTCAAGAACCAAGAATTGCTCCCGGGATCCCTCTGGGATCTGAGAATCTGGACGGGTCTGGCCCTTTCCTCCGGGGTCGTTCCCACCCTTGCCTTCCAGCTGGAGGAGTAGGGGGAGGGCTCTGTGTGTAGAAGGAAAATCTATAGGAGACCAAAGGACTCGTGTGTGTGTGTGTGTGTGTGTGTGTGTGTGTGTGTGTGTGTGTGTGTGTGTGTGTGTGTACACCTGACTCTTTTCAGCTCAGTGGCCAATGGGAAAACTCCAGGGAGAGATTAGCAGGACACCGGACACTCCTTACCCCGCCTCCTGGACTGCCCACACCGGGAGCTGCCCACGCCTCCTGGGCACAGCTGCTGGCCAGTGGGGCCCTAAACAACAACACAGGGTGTGAAGGCCCAGGGGCGCTTCGGGATTGACCAAGAGGAAACACACGTTGCACAAGATACAATCTTGTTGGTACAGTTGTCAGCGAAGGGAACTCCCACAGCAAAGGGCATAAAACCATCCGGGCCAGTCTGGGGCGGTTCACTGAGCCGGTTGGGTGCCAGGGAGCCGAGCAGAGCCCAGCCCGGCCCCACACACAGATGGGACCATGAACTGCAACCGTGGTTTCAACCAGACCCCCTCGGGGTCCCTCCCTAGCGGTGCAGGAGGTAGCAGGGGCCGGCCAGGGAGCTGCTACCCTCGGCCTCCCAGTGTGCATGGAGGGGCTGGGGGCGTGCGCATCTCCCTCTCCTACGCCCAGCCAAGCTGCCCGCGCCCTGGAGGGTCGTGGGGGTCAGGAAAAGGTGGGTCCCTTCTAGGTGGAAATGGCAAGGAGACCATGCAGAACCTCAATGACCGTCTGGCCTCCTACCTGGACAAGGTGCGAGCCCTGGAGGAGGCCAACATGAAGCTGGAGAGTCGCATCCTAAACTGGCACCAGCAGAGAGAGAGTGACAGTAAACAAGATTACTCCCAGTACGAGGAAAACATCAGCCGCCTACAGGAGCAGGTGAGATCCTGGGTAGCCCCGGGGATTTTATAGGGTTGCAAAAGGGCTGCTTTTCTATGGGATCCAAGGGGAGAGAAAGCAGGGCAAAAGAAAATTTTCAGGGAAATGGCAAAAAGCAATTAAAAGAATTGTGTACCAGTATTTAAGGATATTTTCTTATTACGCCTTGCACTTGGACTTGGGAAAGTCTGTTACATATATGGATATTTCTATACATGAATGGTGGGGTAGATGAAGTCAGTAGAAAGTACAGAAACATTTTAGACTGTTTTCAAAAGAAGCTCCCTGATTTTTCACACACACCCCTGAACTGTATCTGACGACCAGCCTCCACGAAAAATCCCTTTAGTTGTTGCTGTTTGCTTGTTTGTTTTTAAAAGCTGCAGCTGTGGAATCCCACACCCTCCCCCATTAATTTCTTTTTTGAGGTTTTTGTTTCTTTGTTTTTTGGGGGGGGGGGGGTGAGGCCACACCTAGCCATGCTAAGGCCTTCCTCCGTGCTCAGGGGACACTCCTGACAGTGCTCAGAGGACCATATGGGATGTCAGGGATTAAGTCCAGGTGAGCTGAAAGCAAAGCAAGTGACCTACCCCCTCAACTATCTCTCCAGCCTCCCTTCAAGATCATTTTGATGATGTAACAGAAATGTAACAGAAATGATTGGGGCAGTATTCAGCACCCATGCCCAGAGTACCAAGCGCAGAAACCTCTACTTTCTCTGTACTTCAGTTCTGCTACTCTTCACCCCCATAACATTCTAGAGATGTGTGCTCTTCCACCATCACAAGACTGAATAGTGTTGTTTTGATGAGCTGTCACACCACAACCAGCCATTTCATTATGATACTCTACAGATTTCCTTTGAGGGCTGTTGGAAGTTGTGAGTTCCAGCTGCTCACAACTCAGATTGATGGCTAGTGGGGGGAATTCTAATAATATGAGCCTTATTTTGGATCCTTAGAATTATGTAGGGTTTTGAGGACTTTGGCAAAAAATAAATAAATGAAATTTCAATGAAATATTTAAAAACAAAGACTTCTGAGATACCCAATAACACTGGCTAGAAGAGAGAATCCAGTCATCTTGTAGGTTATGTTTCAAAATTAAATAACTTCTTTCTTCTATAAAGTGACCCCTGAAAATTTCCCTGTAAGATCATTTCACCTATCCTAGAAAGAACAGCAGAGATTTCCAATATTTATGGAATATTATTTTTCAATGTTCCATCATCCTAGCTTGAATGTAGAAAGAACCAATCAAGATAATATAAATATGTCCTCATAATGAACCCTAATTATTGAATAATCAACCTAATAACTGACTGTGTAATTACTTTAACCATATAGTATCTGGTTGTTTAAAAAAAAAGTGACTCAACAAACTGCACCACAGTGTTTTTATTAATAAAGTTGCTTTTGTTTTAGAATGGAAAAGAAAGATTTTGTAAATGGTTGGCTGAGAATATAACTCCTATGAGAATGTAAGGTTAGGGACCAGAGGGATGGTAGAGTAGGTAGGGCATTTGTCTTGCATGTAGCTGGCCTAGATTCAATCCCCGGTATCCCATTTGGTCCCCTGAGTACCACCAGGAGTAATTCCTGAGTGTAGAGGAAGGAGTAACCCCTGAGCATCACAGGGTGTTACCCAAAAAGCAAAAACAAACAAAAAACCCAAAAAAATGTAAGGTTAAATCTGATGAAATAATTCATTAACAGCAGAAAAGTCAGGGAAGTGCTGACTGAGAACTAGTTGTACGCCAACTGTCAATGCCAGGGATTGAATCGGTGGTATCTCAGGCTTTCTACAATGGTCCCAAACATCTACCTCGATTCTCACAATCCTGTAAAGAAATGAAAGGATTGAAAAGTGAGAAACGCATCCAAAGCACCAGCAAGAGGTGAAGTCAAGATTCAACCCAGGTCTATTTCCAGTGGCCTCATAATTATCACAGAGCACAGTGCCAACTAGTTGACCCCATTTTAAAATGATATTTATTTATCAGTAAAGATAATGCATTCTAGTTTCACTGTTTAATGTGTAGTACATGGACATATGCACCATGCCATTCTGTGAAGCAAGTCTTCTGGGGGGATATTTTGGATTAAAATCACACTCAGCGCTCAGGGACTACTCCTAACTCAAGAATTGCTTCCAGCAGTGCTCGTGGAACCATATGGTTCTGGGGTTGAAATCCAGGACTCCTGTGTGCAGTGCATGTGTTCCAGTCTATTGAGTTACCTTCCAGACCAAAATAGGTCTTTTTCACACCCAATTTATAGATGAGTAGACCAAGAGACACCCTAACTTCTTTGAAACATAACTGAAAAAAACAAGGTTGTGCCACACAACAGGAGGAGCATTTTGCCCTCCTCCAAGGCAGCCCTGGATCCGGACATGCAATAAGACGTGTCTCAGCTTTGAATTACGTTCTTTCATGGATTTCTTATTTCGGCTATTATGAATCCTCTGTGTTTGAGGAAATTTTTGGAGTTGAGGCTGTACATCCAGTCTCCCCTGTGGAGAGGAGAATACACAGAAGCCAAAGAAATACCCCAGTTTTCCTGGGTGACCCCTTCCTGGGCCGTGAGGAGTGCTCTCAGTAGAAAAAGCGAAACCTACACACCCACACTCCAGGGACATTCAACATTATTTCAAAAATTTCAAGAATGCAGCTCAAAACTAAATCCAATCCTTTTGAAATATTGAACTGAACTTTTTGCTCTGTGATATTGGGATATTAGAATGAACTTCAATAGCACTATATTTGGCATTCAAGTTTGCAGGGAGAAAAAATTCTGTTTTCCTCTCCCTGGAAGGACATTACACATCCTGGAGCAATGAGGCTGTACTACTAAACCAACTCAGTCCTTTCAAAAGTATGGACTTGGAGCCTTGGGGAGAACACCAATGATTCATGCCAACATAATTTATGCAAAACCCTTGCCTTATACATCCTTTCTCAAGCTGACCCATCTAGTCCTTATAAGGAAGCATGTCACAGAAGTAGTGGCAGCTTCTTAATATTGTAACCTGACCAATGGGAAATAATTTCAGGTTTTAAATGTGCAGTGGTTCAACTGCATTTCTGAACTCACCACTTGGTGCTGTGAGAATGCTAACTGAGAGAATCAGACTCTTGAGGTGGACTTTGCAATGGTTAAATTAGTAATTTCATTTAGAGCAAAATCTAATCAGCCCACAGTAGATGGTTTGGATTTTCTGAGTGCACAGTTGATACCTTGGTACATATGTCAGAAAATAAATCTCAGTGGCCCCAGACCCTAGTGAATAGACTACTTCCCATTTCCCATAAGCTTAGAGAATGTCAAGTATGAGGATTCTGGGGGAACAGGTAAGAAATTTCCATAGATGATGGTTGGAGGGATCACTCAGGATGGGAGATGTGTGCTGAAAGTAGATAAAGGACCAAACATGATGGCCTCTCATTATCTGTATTGCAAACCATAATACCTATAAGTAGAAGAGAGTAAGAGGGAAATTGTCTGCCATGGAAGCAGGGGGGAGGGGTGTAACAGGGGTAGGGGAGGAATACGGGGGACATTGGTGGAAACTGTACACTGGCGGAGGGATCGGAGTTTGATCATTGTTGTATGACTGAAACTCAAACATGAAAATTTTGTAATTGTAGCTCACGGTGATTCAATAATCAAATTAATTTTTTCTGAACAAATTCAGTTTCAGTTAATTTTTTAGTGTTGACAGAATGCTAAGAATTTGCAATTTTCAGCCTTATTTTATTTACTCTCTTCTAATCTAATTCTCCTAACCCCTTGATGAAGAATTGTAGTTTGCTATTATTATTTTTATTGTTACAACTATAATTTTCAACATATGATGGACAATCTGAAACTCAGTCAAGCTCATTAAGCTCCAGGGTGCAAGGCCAGACCCTGTTCTCCAGTTTCAGACCCAGAGTGACCCACCAGCAAGTCCTGCTATTATACATTCATGATCCCAAATTCCTTGCAGTCAGTGGAGCTGAAATAAGATCTGATTTCTTAAAAGGAGCCATTGTCTTGAGGCATAAATTCATCCTAAGGAAAAATCCTCTCTAAATAAAGAGATCACTAATGTAAATACCATGATAATGTCACAGGCTTCTCTGGTTCCAGTTAAATTCAAGAAGGTTAGAGCGAGGATCTCAAAGGTCACTGGTGTCTAGGGTAAACCTCTTCTTGAGTAAATGCTGAGACTGAAACTCACAGCCTGGAGTGAGGAGCTCAAACGAACACTGATGATCAGTTACTAGAAGTAAAAGGAACTCTTGCAGGTCTCAGGAGAGCACAAAGTTTGGCACGTAAATCATTTTGTACTTTTGACATTGAGACCTCTCCACCTCATTTTTCTAGAACAGTGGTAAACATGTGTACTATTTCTCTGATGAAAACTACCTAAAAGTATTTGTGAATTATGTATGTCCACACAATTTCTCAGGTGGAAACTTCCAACGATCCTTTGGGTTTTAAAGTGTAAAATGTTGGCACATAAGCTGCCTGAGCCCATGTGCTGCTTGTGCCCGTGTGTCTGAGCACATGTGTTGCCTGCATCTCCCCTCTTGAGATGTGTACTTTCATGCTTTCATACCTAATGCTGGGGTGTGTGTAGGAACTCTCCCTGCATTCTCTTTTGAATGTGTAATTCTCTCCCTCTCTCTTCCTCCTTCCCCTTCCTAAAATAAATAAAATCTGTTTTTACTTCAAAATAAATAAATAAATACCATTTAAAAAGTTGATAAAGATCTAGTGAAAGTCTTTAACTGGAGGCTTTGCCATAAAATGTATTAAGCCATTTCATTAATAATTATTTCAGCTAATGTTTTAATAGTTATAATTGGGACAATCTCATTATGGCATAAGTTAAAAACATATATGCATGCCTATGAGTTCTGTGTATGACTATAGTCACTTTGGGTAGGAAAATAATGATGGTCTGTTATGAATATTATAAAATGTATTAAAAATTCATCTGGCAAACTAATGTTAGTGATACTTTGTCAGTGATACTTTATATCTGTGATACTTTGTATCAGTGATACTTTGTTCCTTATCACTGATCAGAAACACAAATGCTATCACAGGAAACAATTATGTGCATCTGAAATAATTATTGCGCTTTAGCAGAGCCAGACTAATTTCACAACAAGGAAAGTGTCAGAATCTCCCTTTAACATCTTCAGCAGTGGAGAAGCTGGAGCAAAGCACTCAGGCCGATATTGAACAGGGAGAGGCCTGTTGCATCCTGGTTCTCCTCCTCCCTGTGAGCCATCCTTTCCAATACAGCACAACCCTGTCTGTTAAACCCAGTGTAAGAAAAGACAGAAACTGGCCAAAGACCTGATCCCTGTGGTACAATGATTCTTAGTACGTGCTCAATAGAGCGAGGAACTTGATAGTTAGTTCCTTGTGCTTCTGCCACAGACAGAGATCATGAAGCTGCTCTGGTCCCTAGAGCAGAGACTAGAGCACTGAAAGGCAGCTCTCCTGGGATTGTCTCCAACAGAAATGACTCCTGGTGCCTATTTTTCAGATAGTGGATGGCAAGCAGACCAACGCGCATATTATCCTTCTCATTGACAATGCCAGGATGGCAGTTGATGACTTCAGCCTCAAGTAAGCAACTTCATCACAGTGCCATGGGGGCTGGTTTTATTTGGGGGTTTGCTCTTTCTTTTATCTTTGGTTGGGATAAGTATCACACACCTGGAAGTGCTTGGAAGCTATTTCTGGCTCTGTGCTCAGGAGTTACTCCTAATAGTGCTCAGGGGACCGTAAGTGGTACCAGAGATAGAACCGTGATCAGCCACATGTGAGGCAAGAACCTTACCTGCTGTACTATCTCTCCTGAACCTTGATTTTGTCCTTATTTGCAAAAGGAAAATTTATCCTGCTATTACCGGCTTGTAAAACTTACTAACAAAGACTATAAATGTATAATAAGAATGCATGGCTGGTTTTCAAACACCAAATATATCAATATAATATAACAGTATATGGGAGATTTTATATATGAAGAATCAGATGATATTTAAGGGTTGTTCATTATTTTTAGGTGTAAGAATTTTTGTTTATTTATAATAATTATTTTCTTAAAATATGTTTTTCTCAAGTATTTAGGGGTACAAAATAATTTATATCAATTACTTTATTTAAAATCAGGACATAATATCTATAAGGTCTATGACAACAGTTGCTGAATCTAAGCAGTGGGTACATGACTATTATTTGATTTAAAAAAATTAAGCCACCACCATCAGAAAAAAACTGCAAGTAACAGTCATACAAGAGATATATAGCATGTTTTCATTTACTCCCACAAGCCCTAAAAATGAGACATATCTCTAAGATGAATCCCTACAAAGCCCTTCCAAAACAAGTTATTCTTATCCCCTCCTTCTAACCAAAGGTATGAAAATGAACATTCCTTCAAGAAAGACCTGGAAATTGAAGTTGAGGCTCTCCGAAAAAACTTGGATGATCTGACCATTGTCACAACTGACCTGGAACAGGAGGTTGAGGGAATGAGGAAAGAGCTCATCCTCATGAAGAAGCGTCATGAGCAGGTAAGTCTCCCCAGGCACTCCTGATAACCAGCACAGCTGCTGGTCTGCCCAGTTCAGTTGATGCAGTAACTATACAGGAAGCTACCTCTGAAATGCCAGTGCTGTAGTCCTTCAAACAGTAGATTGGAGGGAACCATAAGAGTATCTCATTTTCCCAACTTCAAGTGTCTCGACTCACAGGTCAGCAGGCAACAGTCAAAACACAATTGACAATAAATTGGTCAACAGGGGCTGGAGCAATAGCACAGCAGGTAGAGCATTTGTCTTGCACACGGCCAACCCAGGTTCAATTCCCAGCATCCCGTATGGTCCCCTGAGCACCACCAGGGGTGATTCCTGAGTGCAAAGCCAGGAGTAACCCCTGTGTATTGCTGGGTGTGACCCAAAAAGAAAAAAAAAATTGATCAACAACTTTATGAACAGGCAATGTTTGCCAAGACTTATTTATTAACATGATATTTCTTAATGTGTGAGATTGAGCTTCCTTCATGAACCTGATATGCTGCAAATTGGAGGTCTATAGAATAAAAAAGACTCTTCCACTGAGCAAGGTAAATATGACTAGAAGCAACATTAAGAATCCAAATTCCCAGGTCTGGAGGGATAGAATAGGGATTAAAGCACTTGTTTAGCATGTGGCCAACCCAGTTCAATTCCTGGCATTAAATATGGTCCCCAAAAATTATCAGTATTTTTGAGTTCAGATTCAGGAGTAATCTTTGAACATAACCAGGTGTGGCCCCATGGGAATATCATAAAAGTCAAGTAGCCACAGAAAAGCTTAAACTCATAATCATTCTAATCAGCTGGCTAGAAACTAAGATTTTTTTATGTTTCTTAGCAATGTGATGGATGGTTACTTTATAAAAGTCAGTTAAAGGCTTCTTGGAAGTTAAGAGTTTTTGTTTATTCTGAACAAACAAAAACTCCGAACTTCCAGAAGCCTTTAGCTGACTTTAATAAAGTTATCAATCATGGGCATCAATTCTATAAAGTCAAAATGCCTTGACAAGGATTTTAAAAACCTTTACACCTTTTGATTTTGGGTGACTGAACTTGTTCCCAGAGCTTTGGTCTAGAAGCTGAAATGCTCAATTGTGTTATCATTTCCCATGAACTTTTGCCAAAGAATTTTTGACATGCTAAGGAAGCGTGATTCTTTCAGAAATGTCTCCAACCAGGAATTAAGTCAGTAATCACAGAGACTGTGTGATGACCTGTTGACACTAATCTTGATTTTATAAAAACTTTAAAGGGGGGAGGGAACCTGTTTTGTTATCCACACGTAATAACTGAGAAACTTGAGTAAACTAGTGAAAGAATAGCAACCAACTATTTGTTTTGAATGTAGAAACAAGTGAAACAAAGAAAGATGAAAGAAAGGTGAAACAGGTTTGTGTCCTCTTTTGTCACCACTGGTTTGTTTTCTTTATCTGTTATTTAACAGGAAATGGAGGAACAGCAGGTGCCAAATGACTTCAAGGTCAATGTGAAGATAGATACAACCCCAGGGGAAGATCTAATTAAAGTCCTGGATGATATGAGACATGAATACGAGCTTATAATAAAGAAAAAGCACCAAGAGTTAGATGCTTGGTACAAGGAGCAGGTAAAAGCAAGGTTCCTAGACCTCCCAAAGCTTTCATTTTCATGTGACCCCCCATGCCAATACTATCCCTTTGCCAACCCTTTGTCTTTGATTTGGTCTCCTAGTCAGCAGCCTTGGCCCAGGAGGTAACAAGTCCAACTACTGTGCCGAGCAACCAAAATGACATCCATGAGCTGAAACGCACTTTCCAGGCCCTAGAGATTGACCTGCAGGCACAATATAACAGGGTGAGTATGCTCCAGGTACAACTTCCTTCTCTCAGCTTTCCTCAACCTCTCATCAGGCAAGCATCCCCCTCCCATGCAACATCTGTCACTTCCCACTTTCCCACCAAATTTTTTGTGATAAATTGAGTATCTTTGTTGTACCAGACAGTGTACTAGAGAGTTCATCAATGGCATCAATCCTTAGAGGAACTTTTCCAGGTAGGTCCTCATGTCTCCATTCTAGAGATAAGGGACCCAAATCCCTCCATAGTTGAGTAAGCAAAAGTCATAAAACTAGTAAGTGGCGAGTGGTAATCAGGCAGTATTTAGTGAGCAGAGCACCTGTAGACTCCCATTTTCTCTATACTCACAATGAGGCTGTTCCCCAAATCCCAAATAAGAGAAATTTTTGCCACCATGAATTGGTGTCCTGACTGGCTTCAAAAAACCACTCTATGCATAATGTAGGTGTTTTGTCACCAGAAAATTATAAATTCTTGAGTCAAAATCATTTTTGTTATCTTTGTATTTTATAATTTAAGCACTTTGAATGAGTGTCATGACACTCAAAATTTATTTAGTATGATCTATCATTTGATTCCCTGTGTGGCCTATTTGAGTTTTCTAATCATTCTCTTCATTCATTCATAGAATTCCCAGTGCTACTCTGTCCTAGGTCATGGAGAGAAAATAATGAGTTCCTTTTGTGGCAGGTGCCTGTGGTAAATTAATGTTATGTTTTAGGACTCTGTGATGATAGAGACAAAATGTGCACTGTCGAGGCAATAACCATGAGTACAGAAATAATTACAGTGTTGGATCATTTTCAAAACATCTTAACATAGAGTATTTCACAACAGCCTTGTGAGGACAGCAGGGTGCATTCCCATTGCTATGCATTCTACCCTCTGATGGGGCCCTTGGCACTGTGGACTCAGCAATATAGAAACTTTCACTCCATAATATTTTATATCCCATAGGTATTTGCATTCTAAGTAACAGGCAGTAAAGACACAAATGATCACCATGTTACATGATGAAGGAGTTCAAAGAACTAAAGCAAGGGCAAGGTACAGTGAATACTTGGTATCTCAACTAGGTGCTCGGAAAAGGACATCACTATTTCAGTGACCGTTAAGTAAGGTCCTAACATGGAAAGGAGTTATGTCAGGTGACGGTGGGAGGTGTTTGTAGGTACCAACAGCAGACACAAAGGCAGTGAGGCACAGGTGTGCCCAATGGTTTGGTGAGACAGCAGGGAAGCCAATGAGTTTGCATGGAGTGAGCAAAAGAACAAAGAAAAAAGAGACAGCAGAAGGAGGAAAAGAAGGGAAGAGAAGTTGAGGCTACGGTTGTCACAATAGTGCAAAACTGCTCTTGAGTCAAGAGGAATTTGAAGCAGCAGGTACAGACAACATTTTGAGGAGCTTGGTTGTAGGGGCAAGATAGCAAAGAAATTGGAAACCACTGGAGGTAGATGAAAATATAGGAGAAAATTCTTAAGGTGGTTGGAATTTTTTGTATAAAGGCTGGTAGCGTCATTTAGGAGAGAAGAGGGTACTGAATGGTGAATGGTGAACAGGCAGTTACTGAGAGGGAGCACTGATGGCTTCTTTTGCAGCAACAAGGAGTAAATGAGTAGATAGGTTCCTGGTTCTGGTGGGTGGGAGGAATATTCCAAAGAAGGTCTTGGAAGTCTTTCCTGAAGGTCTCCATTTCCTCAACAACAAAGCCAAAAGGCCTTGGGCTGAGGGATAAGAGGGATCAGGAGTTCAAAAGCAGAGGGAGAGATAAAATAGCCCTCTAGGCACACAGGAAGTGAGGAAACTAGAGAAATATGTTCTCAGGCCAGGCAGGGTTAGAGCCCTTGAAAGTCAGGAGCCAGGAGAAAATAGGAGTCTCCAGCACCAGGATGAGATGCTCTTGAAAATGCAGGTTTTAGTTTTTTTCCATTCTAGAGAACACCATGTTTTCCTTTCTCACATCTCTCTAAATTTCTTTCAATACAATTTTGTATCAGTCTCTCTCTCTCTCTCTCACACACACACACACACACACACACACACACACACACACACACACAAACTCACTCACAAAATGCAGGTTTTATTCCACAAATGCAAGTGGAAAATCCAAATAGAACCAAGGCTTGAACTGGGTTCCTCTGTCTCCTAGCCCAGCAACTTCATGGCACAGCTTCTAGAATGTTTTCACTGCCATGAAAATAAATAAATAAATAAATAAATAAATAAATAAGAATGCTTGACCACTTTTACCAAATCAAAAAGCCCAGTTAAACCTGAATGTCACATAAACCTCAATGTGTTTTCAGGGTATGTGTGTCCTGTGCAGTATCAGGGAGATATTCAGCATGTACTCAGGCAAACAGAGGAATCCAGAAATCCAGGCTGGTGCCCTCCATCCCATCTGGCAGCCTCCTTGAATCCTTCTCTGAAGACACTAAGAGCCAGAAGCTGTCCCACTGCTTTTTGTTGCAAGGAGGAGACAGTATGGCCCCAGAAAAGAGGTGGGAGAAACTCAGAACCAGGCAATTGAGGCCCAGTCCCCAAAACACCACTTAAGTCACTCCCAGATCTGCCAAGAGCTCCCAGACCCAAAGTTTTCCTCTCCAGAAATCAGGCTTCAAAATTCCATCACAGCTCAGCTCAAGCCCTGAAACCTCAAAATTTGTTCTGCTTCTCATCTTGGCAGCTACCCATACCCCATGTGGTGGGTGTTATCTCCCTATTTCACACCATTGGTGCTCATTAGTGAGTCCACTCAGCCTGGCCTATTCTCACTTCTCCATCATCATCTCTTCTTGCATCCAGCAAGCCATCAGCCGAGCAATGAAAGAAAGGTCCTTTCCTCTTTCAGAAATCTGCCTTGGAGAGCATGTTGGCAGAGACCCAGTCTCGATACTCGTGTCAGCTCCAGGACATGCAACGCATCATCTCCCACTATGAGGAGGAATTGCGGCAGCTCCGCCATGACCTGGAGAGACAGAACAATGAGTACAAGATCCTCCTGGGCATCAAAACCCACCTAGAGCAAGAAATTGCTACCTACCGCCAGCTCCTGGAGGGAGAAGGAGACGGGTATGACGGGGACTGGCAGAGATGAGTATTCATGGGCAATAGTTCTCGTCTGGGCATTTACCAGAAAGCTTTAAATTGAGCTTCCCCAGAAGAGACTAAGATCCAGTTGTGTTTCATGATACAATGAGTGACTGAATCAGCTACTCCTACTATAATTCTTAGTCTTAAGGTACACAGTTTAAATTAATGTTAAAGAGGCTGGAGCGATGGCACAGCGTATAGGGCGTTTGCCTTGCATGTGCCCAACCCTGGGTTCGATTCCTCCGTCCATCTCGGAAAGCCTGGCAAGCTACCAAGAGTATCCTGCCCGCATGGCAGAGCCTGGCAAGCTCCCGGTGGTGTATTTGATATGCCAAAAACAGTAACAACAAGTCTCACAATGGAGACGTTACTGGTGCCTGCTGGAGCAAATCGATAAACAACGGGAGGACAGTACTACAGTGCCTATTACATAGAATAGAATAGAAAAAACTAATGTGAAAATCTACAGAAAGTAACAATAATAGAGGTTTGACTTCTGATATTTCCCCTTATAAATGTATACAGTTGGGGCTCCAAACAAAAATGGGGGGTGAGCATGGGGTGTAGAAATATTATTGCCTCACAGCAGGAAAAGATCTATAGAAGATTGTGATGTCAAGATATTCAGTCTTGTATTTCAGAGCATCTAGAGAACTAGCCGTATCTGTCCCCCACAAAAAGGGTTATATATGCATTCTTTTACCCTAAAGGAAGGATTAAAAAGTCCTGATACAGGGCAACTCCCAACTGCCCAAGATCCAATTCTTTAACTCATAGGGTGTTGTTGCTGTTATTGTTGTTGTTAATAGATAAATAATATGTTCTTAGGCGAAAGTTTCAATGGTCTGATGGGATAAGTCCACAGGTGGTTAGTCCTGAAAGAATCTGGTGGAGGCAAAATCAGCTGAGAGGAAGGACTTGTCCAACCCCAGAGTTAGTGTGAAGGCAGTATCAGAGTCTTGGGATACTGGAAGGTACCCCAGCAACTCGTGACCCTGAGATTGCTGAGCTCAGACAAGTACCCTCTTGAAGAACTAGGAATTTACAAGCAGTCAAAGGAAGTTAGTTCATCTTGAAATTTTTTTATGATCATTGCTAACAATAAAATGAGCTTTAACATTTATCACTTTTATAGGACAATGGAGAAATCCAAGTCAAGCATGAAAGGTAAAAAAAAAATAATTCTTTTACAGTTTGACTCTACCTTTTCTTCCCTAATGAATCAGCACATTTATCTATTCTGTAACATTTATAATCCTTACTATGCTCCCAAATATCATGGGTTCATTTTTCATCTTGCTCCCAATTGACCAGGACTTTGAATTAATTTGACAAATTAGATAATGATAGAGTAAAATGTGCTTTCAAGGTTGTCCCCAACAATATGTCTGAAAGCTCTGCAAGTTGTATAGTTGAACAAAATTATAATTTCTATAACGATATCCATTAACTATGGGGAAGTCATTTTACATTCAGTTCCAAAACTGTTCTGTTGAATACTAAATGTTCCATGAGATATTAATTGTGGATTATGAAAGACATGTTCTCTGTCAGATACCTTTGGAAATACCATGCATCACCGCCCTTTTCATGAACAGTCATGTCGCATTTTAATATGGTAGACATCAGGGGGAAAGAAGCAAGCAAGAAGAAAATTTTTACTTTGTTTAATCTAATATTCTTAAGTAACTTTGAGTATGAACCTTATTTTCTCAGACTGCCTTTAACATCTTAGGTGAAAGTTTTAATAAATCAGTCTGGGAAAATAATACTTTCATTTGTGGGGGGCCACAAATGAATCTGAGTTTGGGGGCCATAAAGATGATATAGAGGGTAGGACACTTGCCTTGCACACAGCTGACCTGGGTTCACTATGAAGTTTCAGGAATTCATACTCAATTCCTGACAACCCAAGCTCACCAGGAGTAAGTCCTGAGCATTGCTGGGTCTGTCCCAAAAACAAGAGAGAGAGAGAGAGAGAGAGACAGACAGACAGACAGACAGACAGACAGAGACAGAGAGACAGAGAGAGAGACAGAGAGAGACAGAGAGAGAGAGAAATTTGAGTTGGAAAAAACATCACAGATTAGCTGCTCTAATTTTTGCCTAAACAAGTACTACCTTTGCCTCTCCCCACCCAGGTATGGTGTTGGGGATTCCACCCTTAGTAGGGTGGCACAATGTATAAAGGACCCATTCTTCCCTCTTGTCTAGAGTCAGTTTGCCAATATGGTAAAGGGCATATACTGAAACAAACCAGATCTTTGACAATCGTGCCCATGAGAAAGTGCCTATGAAAAATACCCTGGCATCTCACTTAGCTCTCACGTGGTTTCTTCTTCAGATCTTAAAATGAGGAGCTCAGCATGTAAGCTCCTAGAAACTGTGGGGTAAGTGCTACCAGGTCCACATAAGCAGACTAGATTCTGTTTTGGACAGGCCTGGATAAAGATATTGTCTTGAGGACCCTATTCAGATATTCTTGCTTCCTGAAAGGTAGTAGAAAAGTCCTTCCTGTGTGAGATCCCTTTCGCTTTCCACAGACTTCAACACTGATCATTGATTAATGATCAATCAGAGGTACAGAGGACCTGCCAATACCAAAGAAAGAAACAAAGGATGGGTATATGTGGGGGGGGAGGGCGCAAAGACATGGCAGTGACCCCTTCCTTCCTCTTTTCCTCACCACCTGCAGCCCCAACGGTCAAGGCCATCATGCAGGAAAGCGTCAATGGAAGAATAATTCTTTCCCAAGTGAATGAGATCCAAAAGCACTCCTAAGCCAGCAAAACTCTCAGCCTTTGAAAGTAAAAACTTTTTTTAAAGTAAAATCTTTTTCTTCCAATGCAACATCTCTGCCCAGACACTAATGGGTGAATCCTAAGACACATCCTTGGAGTTATCAAAGTCAGAAGCTTCTTTCCCTAATGGTCTTAATGTACTGTTGTATTTTTGTTGGAATCAAAGATTGAGCTCATGAGTTTAAAGCTCTCCTTGGATAAAGCATTCTTTAGAGCGCTTTAATTTTGTGCATTTGTTTTGTAACCAATAAAACTCTACCCTACTGTACCCTGTCTTTTTTATGTTGTAAGTCAAGACAAGGTCTTATTCTCACAAGAGGTCCTGGGATTGTTGCTCATGAAAAGACCAAAGGGAATTAAGTGTTTGAATATGCTCAGCCAAACACTGGGCAAAATTGTTACCTTGTCCCAGGCTCCCCACACTGGACAGTAGGTAGGGAAAAAGAAATCCAAAGTGAGGCCCAAGAAATCCACACTGAGCCTGTGAGATAACCAAAGTGAAAAATAAATCATAAGGGCCTTCAAAGAGTTAAAGCTAGGAAGGAAATTCAAGGTGTGTGTGGGTAGGAGGTATTGGGGGAATGAATCCTCATTGCAAATACAAAGACCTTAAGAGGGGGAGTGACTTATCCAATATCTTAATTATGAATATTGGATCAAGAGTATTATTTTGGTCTGTAGTAGGGGCTAAAGGATAGAGAAATGCATGTCTGCCTTTTCTCTCATTATAACCTTGTGGACCTTTGTTCCCAGGCAGATTTAGAGGGAAAAGAAGAGATAAAGTGAGTTTATTAAGACAACATCAATGTTGCACATGGAATTATCAAATATTAACAATTTAAGGGAGCAAAGAAATAGGTGGTCAAACTGTCCCATTTTATAGGCAAATTGAGGCCAGAGGATGAAGGCACTTATTACCCAACGCTTGCTGAAGTACTGCAACTTCTTTAGCTATAGTTTCTCAACAACTGCTGAACTCGATGTGGGTGGGATTTAATTCATTGTTGTTCCACACAGCGGCAATGCCTGGTGTGCTTTTTACTCTGTGCTTAAAAAATCTCTTGGAACATAGTTCTTTTGATCATTTCTGACCCAGGCATCTTTTAAAACTGCATTTGTCTTCCCTTTAAGATAATTACAGGTGTTTCCAATTCTTTATCTCCAAAGACTAGAACCCCCAATCCCAAATTGGAACAAAAAGAGTCCAAAATAAACATGTCAATGCAAAAATGTGCTACCAGTCTCATTGAAATACATTAATTCTCTAGTGTAAAATTATAAATTTATCTTACTGTGTGATCACGCCAAAGAATCTCAAAACTGACAAGTACACAAACATCTTTAATGAGTTTTCTTTGTGCAGTATTGTGGAGACCTCTGATGTTTAAGGGAAAGAAGAAAACTGCATTAGAGTTCATTAGTTATTTATTATGTTTTATCTTACTCTGATAATTTCTGTTAAGGGGATATTACAGAGTCAGAGAAGATGTAAAAATAATTTTTCCTACATTATATCATTAACTGACACTACTATTTTTTTAAAAAAAATCTCTGCTTGAAATCTGAAAATGTGTAAAAAATATCACCACCTTATCTAGGTGAAGTTTATGCATTGCTAGAAAAATCTTTTGAAGAACATTTCACAAGAGGACAAGCTGGAGGGAAAATTATACTATTGTAACTAGAAAATTGTCACTACAGTAGAGACAGGGCTAGGAAGATTGCTCCACAGTTGGAAGTCTGCCTTATGAGCGGGGAGAGAAGGCAGCTGGGATGGAAAAGGAATCACGAAGTCAGTGATGGTTGGAGGGACTGTTTGGGATAGGAGATGTGTGCAGAAAGTAGATAAAGGATTAAGCATGATGGCCTCTTGGTATCTGTATTGCAAACCATAATGCCCCAAAGTAGAGAGAGAATAAGAAGGAAATTGTCTGCCATAGAGGCAGAGGTGGGGTGGGATTGGGGAGTGGGGGAAAAGGATAGTGATACTGGGGACATTGGTGGTAGAAATGTGCACTAGTAGAAGGATGGGTCTTTAATCATTGTATGACTGACACTCAAACATGAAAGCTTTGTAAGTGTAGCTCATGGTGACTGAGTAAAAACAAAAAAAAAGAAAGAAAGAAGGAAAGAAAAAAAAATTGTCACTAATTTTCCATTTACCATCATACCTCATGTGTAACTTGGTAACAATAAATCCTATTATATGGACAATTTTTTATTCAAGAACATAAATGCTCCCTAAGGCCTTATTATTTTCCTTGAATTAGTCAAGGTGACTGACTCATCTTCGCTGGGGAAATCTCTCTGTACCAAGCCAAATGGACTGGACAATCTAACAATAAAGAAGCACTCTTGCCTTGGTTCATTTGTGTTGCTGTAGCAAAATACTGATACCAAATGACTATGAACAATAGAAATTTATTTCTCATGATTCTGGAGGCTCCAGCATTGTCACACTCTCCTGATTCATCACTTTTTGATATATAGCTGAGTGGACTAGGACGCTCTGTAAGGTATCAGTAGAGTATGGTTCTTATTCATGAGGGACCACATTTATGGCATGTAGGTCCAGAACCATCACCTTTGAAGTTAGTATTTCAGCAAATGAAGCTTTCAGAGATACAGACATTTCAACCATAGCACGTTTATTTTACTAAAAATCAAGAGGAAAAACAATTTTAACTCAAAATCAAGAGTAAAAAATATTTGCCTGAATAGAGACAGTTGTGTGAGTTTGGGCGATTGGGAACATAGCAAAACCTCTCCCACATCTAAATCAGCTTAATAATCTTTCAAAATATTGATTATAAATGAATTTATGTCTGTGTATTCAAGAGCATAATAACCAAAGAAGTTTTCTTGGGGACTTAGTTTTGCACAACACGCACCCAATCTATAGAAAGAAGACCATGAAATAAATTCTGTTTTTTTCAATATAGAAACTTTACGTAAGTGGCTTTAAGTAAGTAGCAATGGTCCCATTCCAAAAAAGCCAATTAGAGAAATAAATGGTTAAACCATGGTCATATAGTGTAAGACTGTAATTTAATATTTAGGTTAATATACTTTCAACAGTAAAGAAAAATCTATTTAATGTTTTTCAGTTTAATCAAACACGTCTTTACTAAATGTTCATTTTCCCCTTAGAGTTTTTACATTGGTGCCCTCCTAATGATGTGTTAAATTGGGAACTAAACTTCATAAAAATTCATGATTAAGGATTGTAGCAACTATATGTTGTGTGAGAAGAGGGCAGTGGGTGCAAGGACTCATTTATGGTGGACAAGCAGAAGGGATTCACTTTCTCAAACACAACTTTCTCAGTGTTGGCTTCAGCTCAGAATCACCTGGGGAAATTTTAACATTCCATTACCCAGGGAGATTTAAAATTCCAATATCAAAAAAAAATTAAAATTAAAAAAAATAAAATTCCAATACCAGGTCACACTATAGACCAATTAACTATAGATCAAACACTTTGAAGGTTGGACCTAAGCACCAATGCATTTTGGAGATTCCCAAGTAATTACAATATAACTATAATTATGTAATTACAGTGTAGTCAGGTTTGAGGAACTATACTGCTATAGTAACTTCAGGTGTTTTGTATTTACATATGTGTTCCCCCATATAACTAATTTCTTAATACTTCTCACAAGGACTTTCTTCATACCTCTCTCAAATGCTTGTAATTTGTCTTGCTCCACCAAAGTGCAAAGAACTACTTCTAGGAAGTATAACTGAGGAAAAGGTTATAAGTAAGATGAATATTAAAATCTCTGCAAGTTTATTTCCACCTGGTTAACAGTTTCTTTTTCAGATGCCTAGTCAAATATTTTTCCAGAGTTAGATTTTAGTAATGAGTTTTCAGAGTGCAAATCTGCTGTACTGTTTTGGTCTCTTCTTTTCGTTGTCTCTTGGATTTTTTTCAAGGCGATGTCAAATAGCAACCTATGCAGAAAAGTTAAATTGTTTCTAATTCCAGTGACTGAAAAAAAATTAATGTAGGACACACGGTCTGTCCTTAAAGAAAGATTAGTTATTTAAGCATCACACAGAAGTTCATGTTTCTATAAATCATGAATAGGGGCCAAGAGATAGTACAGCAGTTAGGAAGCCTTGTTTGATCCCCAATTCTGCATGGACCCTGAAGCATCACAGGTGCATCCCTGGAGGCCCCTATCACCATCAGATATGATCTAGGAGGTTCATAAGACTTTCCAAGTTTGCCTGAGCAACACCATACTCTCTGTCTCTTGCATTGACCCCCTCTGGCCAGGGTAACTGAGAATCATTTGTGGGGCCCCTGGACCACCTGAGCACTGCTTGGAGGGGTTCCCAAAAAAAAAACAACAGAAACGAAAATATGTGTGTGAGCATTAGAAGAAAATATAGCAATCACCAATTGAATGATTTTACGTTAGAGTTGAAGTTAATGTCTAGAAAGATCAGGTAAGCTCTCCTGATACTCAGATCTCTAACTATTCCAGAAACTTCAACACATAGTAGCACAAGAATCAAACAAAGCATCAATATAATCTTTGAACTCGTTGAAAATTTTAAATTGGCAAAAGTTAAGTGATTAAGACGTGTTAAGCTTTGACCAGTTTATAAAAATGCTAATAGTTGTGAGAAAAATTAACTCTTAATGTTGTGTATGTTGTTTTCAAGATAGTCTTTGAGGGGCCAGAGCAATAGTAAAGCAGGTAGGGGATTTTCCCTGCATGTGGCCAACCCAGATTTGATCCCTGGCATTCCATATGATTCTGCAAGTGTAGCTAGGAGTAATTCCTAAGTGTAGAGCCAGGAGGAACACCTGAGCATTATCAGGTGTGGCTCAAATCCCCCCCAAAAAAAGATAGTCCCATTTAATGCAAGCATATGTAGCATAGAGTATTTTTTAAGTTTATCTTAGTCAAATAATATAGTGTGTCATTTCTTTGGGATAAAATGAAATGATTTCACATATATACCAAATAAATAATTCCTGTGTTGGAAATTCATTTTTCACATTT